GGCTGCCGGCTTTAGCGCTCGGGCAGAAGAAAAGATCAAAAGGGGCCCCTGGCAGAAGAAAGGCTCCCGATTGCTTCACTGCAGCAGGAGCGACCTGGAAACAGGGAGCCCAATGGAGTCCCCCTTCCCCATTCCAAGGGCAGCGGAGGGGCAGGCAGATGCCCCCCACCATCCCGACGTCCCCAGCAAAGCGGCTGTGCCAGCATCCTGAAACGCTTTGTGCCTCCGACCCCCTTCCCACTCGAGTCTGGGCACCTGCAACCAGACACCGGTGGAGGTTAGCAGATGCCGAGCCCGGCTTCTCCCTCTGCCACATCCCACCTTGTCAACCTGATCCCACCAACACCTGCCCGTGCAGGGAACAGACGCTCCCCTTTGTGCTGCTTTTCAAAGCCCCCGAGCTCACCCTGCTCTGCACAGGCAGCGCTCGGAGGCCAGGAGCCAACTGTAGCCACGGGACCGACCAAGGGTGCTGCGTTTAGAGATGTTCACTCATCTCTAGGCACTCCTGAAACCAGCGTCAGCATCATTATGAACAGCCTAATTTCTTCTCCCTCTAAGAAAAGCGAGCAGCAGAACGAGGAAGGGTTTCCACTAGATCCAACAGCAAAACCGCTTTGCTGTTCCCCCGTGAACACTCACCACCTCCGTGCCAGTGATGCTGGCCAGCAGCTCGGTGATCGCTTCGCCGGTGAAATCGTTCACAGAGACAGTCAGGCCGTGGATCGCCGCTCCGATACTGCCTGTCGCAATCATGGAGGGGGGGTACATGGCAAAAGTGTGGTCTAGAGCCAGGACAGGAACACAAAGGGCAAAAAGAAGCCGTTAGCAAGTATGCACGTGGCAAGTTCTTGGGACTGCGATTTCCCTGGAAGACTAGAGAGGGCCAGGCAGAGAGGTCTCTCCAGCTCAGTGGGGAGAAATGGGGGTGAGGCGACAGGAAACAGGCTGAGCAGCAGAGCACCAAGCTTCATTAAGCTATTTCTCTGGGTCTGTCTCACCAAAAGAAGTTCTGAAGATGAGGTTGCTTTAGTGACTTAGAGCGAGGCTGATAAAAGCTCAGATTCAACCCTGCCTTTACCCTGGACGCCCTCCCGCAGCCTGCTCAGCAAGAGAGGTGGCACAGCAGCTTTGCTCCTTCCTGGCATCTTCCAGGCACCCACTAAGAGCCCCCAGGCCCGTTATCCCACTTTGTCAGGCGTAGAAAACATGTCATGGAGCAGCAAAATGCTCCGATTTGAATGAAGGCAGGTATTCAGCTCCCCAGAAAGCCAGGTTACCCAGCAAGCCTGATTCAAGCCCAGGTTCTCCCACTCGCAGTGGCCAGCCCACCCTCCCCAGCACCCTGGTGGGTGGCTCCAGCGGGAGCAGGCACCCACCTGTGGCACACAGGGCAATAAAGGTCTGTGCATGTTTCTTCACCAGCTCCATCTTGTCCTTGGGCAGCGGGAGGTGATGGAGGATGTGAGCCAAGAAATCATTTGCTATCACTGAGACCAGGTCCCACTTTAGCTTCTCCAGGACTAGAACCTCCCAATCCTGCGGAGTCAGACAGACAGCACGTTATTCAGCGGGGCTAGGCTGGGCAGAAACGCTCACCAGATTCAAGGGCAGATAAGGACAGTGCTTAGGGAAGGGCCAGTAAGACAGGACAACCCATGAGACAGGGAAGAAAAGAGGGAACATCTCTGCTCTGCGACTATGGCACAAATCCAGCCTTGAGCTGTTGCAAAGCCTAAAGATTGGAAGAAGAAGCAAGAAATCTGGTTTCTTCTTTCCAAGGTGCAGTCAGATTAGCCCTCAACACTCCTCTGCCTTGCAAGGTGCTGCAAGAGCCCACAGAGGAGAAACCAGAGCAAGGAGCAGTAGGCACACCAGTCCCATATTCCTTCTCCACTCCTGAAAGGAGAGGCTGATGTCCAGGCTTCCAGGAGCAATCCAGATTGGGACTACCACCATTACAGCAAAGGAAACACAGAAGCTCACCTCTCTGTGTGCCCCGTGGAGCCAGCCAGTGCATTGATTCCCTCCTACGGTAGCTCCTTGGCCACAGGAGGCAATAGCTGCTCAGCAGCCCCTTTGCACAACAAGATGAAGCAAGGGAAGGTGAGGGACAGAGCTGAGCTTTGAGGGCTGCATCCAGACAGCCCAAGCTCCTGTATGAGATCTTCAATCCCTGAAGAGCTCAGGGGCCTGGACAAATACTGGGCACATAGCCTTAACGGAGGAGGTCCCAGCCTGGGCACTAGCACGTTGGCAGAACCTCCCCTTACACGTCTCTTCTCTGCCAAGAGAGCCTCCAGCCATGCTCAACAGAGCATCCCCAGCAGCTTCTCTGGGGAAGAGGCACTAAGCAGCCAAGCTAACACCCACCTCTCCCACTGACAGACAAGCAATGGCTCACTGGTGCTTCCCAGTTACATGCTAGGTGGCTGCCGGTGTCTCCATCCCACGTTGTGGTGCTCTCTCTAAGCATCTAACAGACATTTCGGTAATACCTTCCACGAGCCAGTCTCTGTGCAATCTGCAATCTGGGGAACAGATGGCAGGGAGGCCAGGAGCCCCCCGTGGCTTTCAGCTGGAGCCCAGGCTGCTCCTCTCATCTGCTCAGTCCCTCGCAGGCTCTTCCAACTCTGGGCATTAGTCCTAGCACTGACACGGAAACCAAAGTGCAGAGCAGCCACGGGCAAGCACTTGGCAGAGCCATCACCCAGCAAATCCTGCAGACGTTTGGTTCCAAAGCACCCATCCAGCAAGGTGTAAGCATGGGCAGCCCCATAATCAGAGCCTTAGCACAGAATTTGGTACCGCTGCATTCAGTTCCCTGTCTGCCATCAATGTCAAGGTCTACGTGACTTAGCTGGAGTAGCAGTTGAATCAAACTCAGAGGCCACACACGTACTGGTCTCACTGGGCTGGGTGGCTTCGATGTTATGGCTGGGTACGACTATGCCACCGACAGAGCAGCCTCAGGAAGGCAAGAGCGGTGTCTTCCCAGGATCGTTTCCCTTCCCATCCCAACAGGAATGTCACAAGCAGCCCACACCCAGCTGCCCGAGCCTCTCCGCCAGTCCCAATTCCCCCACGTCCCGAGCCACAATGAAAATCTCTGGCCCCCAATTTCTCTCATCCTCTGGATCAGCAGCAAATCTGGTTTTGGCAACAGGGTCCAGGTATCCCAGAAAGGCCACAGAAGATGCCCCCATGTCCCTCCTCCCCGCTAGCAGGGGGTGACAGCAGCCCTGCGGATGTGCTGGGAAAGGAAAATAGGCTGCAGGAGCTGAACGTCCCGAGCCACGATGAAAATCTCTGGCCCCCAATTTCTCTCATCCTCTGGATCAGCAGCAAATCTGGTTTTGGCAACAGGGTCCAGGTATCCCAGAAAGGCCACAGAAGATGCCCCCATGTCCCTCCTCCCCGCTAGCAGGGGGTGACAGCAGCCCTGCGGATGTGCTGGGAAAGGAAAATAGGCTGCAGGAGCTGAAGCTCCAAGTTTGGAAGGACAGAGCTGAATTGGGATATGTATCGGATATCTCCATTGCAAGGCCCAGTCTTACCCAGCAGAGCATCTATTCTTTTTCCAAGTAGTCTAGGATTACAAGGTCAATGCTGCCCACAGACGTGCCAAAGGGCTCCCAGAACAGATGGATTTGAAGAAGTGAGATTTTTCGTAAGGGCAGATCTTCATTTTCCCTCTTTTTTTTTTTTTAAACCCCCTCTTTCCCCTTACACAACAATACCAGTTTTGAGTTGCTTAAATGAGCAGCATTGCTCAACCTGCTCCAAATCCCCCACGAGGCCAAACACGCCATTTGACATTTCACAGCCTGCACTTTTCCAACCAGAAAGCAGTGCTTCACTAGCACACGCTTGCTAGTCTCCCATATGGTTGGCCAGCCTGCTAGTCTTTCTATATTTTAAAGCCAAATCCACACGATAAAAGCAGGAAAAAACTTAGCAATGAGCTCTAGAGCCTGAGGGTTGCAGCACAGGTCACCAAGGGTGCCTGGTTCAACAGAGGGGAGAGATCAGGCCTGGGTAAAAGAAGAAAAATAGGCAGTGCTGGCCACTGGTTGAACTGCAGCAACACAGCAAGGTGACACAAGGAAAGAGCTGCTGAAGGTGGAGAGCTCTGCACTTGTCCCTACCCGTCGCTCATTTGGAACCCTCCATGGGCAGCAGGCTGTGAAACCAGCTGCTTGCTCGTGCATGAGCCCACTTTCTTGGGAAGGGGCAGAGGACCCGCCTGACACCTTGGGCGGTCACTGCCCCGAGGGCGAGGGGCCGAGGCAGCTCCAGCCTGACTTCTCCATGCAAGCTGGGAGCACGGCCCTTTGCAGACCCAGGAAGAAGGTCAAAAGGAGGACCTGGAGATCGCTGCTCGCGAAGCAAACCCAAAAGAGATCACTACACCCAAGAGAGGAGCTCCTGAGCAGAGGGAACACCAGCCCAGCATCATCTGGGATCTTGCTCCTTGCCTTTCCTGCCAGAGCTGCAAGCCAGCTCCTGAGAGTCACCAGAGGCACCAGACATCCACACTGGTGTGGCAGACAGCCTGTCCCTGCTGGGACACATTTTGTCCCAAGAAGATCCACAGTGCTGATCAGATCAGCTGTTGAGAGCTCATCTGGGACAAGCTGGCTCCTGCCACACCAGGACTGATCCGGGACAATAGCCTGTCCATTTGCAACGCACAAAAGCGGCTCTTTTCCAGCTACTACAGAGGTTCATCATCTTCTTAAAAACCTCGTTGTTACAAAAGGCCTGATCCCGAGACCCAGCCGGCACTCGAGATGCCAGCTGAAGGCGACATGTGCCAAGGACTGTCACCAGCTCACAGGATTTAGCTCAGGGAAGCTTCTCTCCTGCCAAACCACCCTGCTCCTCGCTTCTCTCCTGCTAACCCTGGGGACTTCCCGTTCTCGGAGCGGCATGTCAGAATCTCTGAATCATTTTATCTGTGGAAGAAGCAGAACAAAAGGCTGCAAGAGATAGGCAAGCAGGTTTGCAACAGCAGCACCGCTCAGTATAGCAAACATCCTTTTCCTGGCATTTTGTTTTGCACCTAATTGAATCAGTCTCTGCCTGGCTAATGAAAGAGAGGAAGAAAGTGGAAAATGTTCCTTTGTTTTTCCGGCCTGCGGAGCCCACCCTCCTCATGGAAGGGCTGCAAGCTGCCAGCATTACCCACTGAGCATCCCGATGCTGGGAATACATCAGGTCCCCCTTCAGCAAGATCCCCCAGGGCAGAGCTCCCCATGCTTGGCCAGCATCTCTAGGGGTGGAAATTGCACAGCAGCCGAGCTTTGCCTCTGCAAGCTTGCTTCCTCGATCTCTCCTAGCTGCACCCCACAAGAAAGAAAAAAAAAAAGGAAGGAAAGCAGTGACCATTTCCCATTGCCTCCATTTCTCTGACAAGGTGATCTCAGAGCACAGTCCTATTGCAGTGAAACAACCTCAACGCCGTGGTTGCTGTCTCTGCACCCTCTCACCAAGACAGACCCCAGTCACAAGCAGAGACGCTTTTACTCAATTTACAGCTCTGCAAATGGAGACTGGGATGCAAGTCACACCAGCTTCTCTGCCTTTCATGTAGTGACAGTCAGTCTGTACATCAAGCTCTACCCTCAGCAACACCCACACAGCCGCTATGCCTACAAGGAGTCTGTGTAAACCCATCTGGAGAGGCTGCACAGGGAGCAGAGAGCCCAGCTCCTCTCTGCAGCAGCCCTGTCTGCGGGAGAAAAGGAAGTTACACTCGTTTTTGACACTCGAGTTGATAAGGTACCATTTTACATTATCACGGACCCGATGAGACACCAGCGAAGCGGGAGCAGGCTGCCGTCTGTTGTGCTCGTGAGCTGACTCAAAAAGAGGGTGGAAAGAGCTGCTGATGTTGCCGCTGGCCACCCACCCTACCCAGCAGCTCAGACACAGCTACAGAAATGAGCAGCCATGAAAGTCCATTTGCAAATAGAAAACCTGGGGCAAACGTTTGTTTCCATTCCCCAACCAGAATTCAAGACTGGATGTCAAGGGTAAAGGTGCCAACTTCAGATGCAGAAACGGTCGCATCCATCCCACCCATGCAACAAGTGGAAGGTAAAACAGTTATAAACACAAGCATGTCTTCTGCAAAGCCCACGCTCTGTCACAAGTGAACATCCCTTTCTACTCGGCTGTTATCCCTTTCTCTTATTTTCACTCCTCATGGCCTGCTGCCACTGCTGCTCCCTTCATTATCTGCCTTGTGGCTTGATCCTGCTTAAGGTCTTTGCTAGGAAATAGCTGCCAGTTTGCAAAACTGACCTTAGGGCAAAGGTCTCAGAGGCAGGACAGCATGTCGGGGCAAACCAGGCAGATGAAGGTGACCAACTGCTCTCCCCAACCTTCAAGCGGCTGAACACCCTCTTGCACAGGCCAGAAAAGCCTTTATTTAAAAAAAAAAAAAAAAAAGAAAGGTAGGTTGGATAACGCCCTTGACGGAAATCAAACTTCCTCCAAATGGACAAGTCCCTCGTTGCATCATTTCCTTCTCCCTAGAATAACTTCATCAAGATTTTGTTTCAAATATGTCCTTTCTAAACCGCTGAGCTGGTGCCAAGCATCCCTGCAAGAGAAGGAAGTAAACCTATTGGGAAAGTGAGCCAGCTTCCTCCGAAAGGCCGGGGAGGACACGCTGGAAGCTGAAACGGCACCGACCCATGAGAACAGGCCAGGATGCACCATTCTCCAAACCTTGATGAAGAAGCTCCCCTTCCCCTCCCCACCCTCTTCCACTGCAAGATTGTGAAAGAGAAGTAACACTACCACGATTAGCACAGAGGAGGAAAGCAGCAGCTCGCCCTGGTTTTGTAATCAGGGTATTAACTCTTGTCAGGTCCCAAAGCAAAGACAAATCCTTCACCTATCTTCAGATGTTACCCCCATTCCTTTTTTACAGCGGAGAGCAATGGGAGACCGGAGCAGGACCTGCTCCAAACAGGGTTAAACATCTACTGAAAGCAAGCCTTGTGGCAGGCACGGAAAGATGACCACCAGATCATGGGCTACAGAGCATCTCCTCCGCAGACATCTGCAAATGCCTCAGCACCTCTCCTTCAGGGCTGTGGCCGGTTTGCGGTGCCTTCGCTCAGCCCTTTGGCTAGCACCAGTTACCAGGAATGAAGCCCTCCACTGCCGAGTGCTCACGGCCATCCCCTTGGGGAAGAGAAAAGGGATCCTATTTGCCTGAAAAAGCTCTATTTGGCTATCTCAAGAAAGGACTTTCGATCCCCAAAATGAAGCCATTCTCAACTGCATATTGATTCTGGAGCACAACGATGAAAGAGATCCATGCCAACTGTCTGGCTGTGCCTCCCGTTGTGAGAGTGTCCCAGGATCCTGGTGGGGAAAGAAGTACAGGAAGGCAGAATTCCCGTACCGAGACCTGCACAATCAGAAGTGAGCAACAGGCGGCAGGCAGCGCTTTCCTCCTCCATCTCCACCCCGGTGCTGCCAGGAGGAGGGAGAAGGGAAGATGAACATTGTGGCACTGCTTAGCCACAGCTTCC